GCTCTATTAATCATAAATGTCAACCGAATTATTATTATTTTTATAATTTTTTATGCTACGCACATATTTTATTGAACCTTATAGCACATACGTAGTACGTGTTGATTTGCATGTGTACATTTATATGTAAATTGCTATTTTCAGGTTTATTAAAATATTAATCTGTCATACTGTACAAAACAAAAAATTTAATTTTAAAAATTTTAATATATTTTGTATATAAGTAAATTGTATGAAATTTGTAAATGACTGCTTCTTATTATTTTTCAACAAAATTATAAATTTGTAATATTCAACAATATTAAAAATTATTTTTTTGAAGAAAATGTTATATGCATACTTTTGTGTATTTGTTATACGAGTAGACATATTATATTATAATATTAATACGCACATTATATAAATATTATACAGCATATTCATTTTCCTTTCTGTTCATTTTTTTGAGGTCCAATTGATATTATTTTAATGTTTTATTGTTATATAAATGAAACATAATAAAAATCAGTTTTAATTGTCTATAAATTTCTCTCTATATAACATCACACATTTTATATTTTTATTTTTTTGTTTCTTATATAAAATTTTCTAATTTTTGAAATTTTAACACTAATGCTGAACACCAGATTTTTATATTTTTTTATTTGTAATTATTCTTTTTTTTTTTGTTGATGAACCTAAAATTAATTTTATTTCAACAAAAAAATTTTTATTACCCAATAAACAGGGGGTGGAATAAGAAGGCACGATCCATATAGCATTTTAAACATATTATTAAGCATATGAATGGTAATATGGAAATACACATGCATGTATGTAAGTATGTATATTTGTACATATGTATATAAATTTAAGTACTAAATATAATGTGCGTTTATAAAATTTAAATATTGAAATATTTCTTTAATGTTTTGTTAATATTCTTTAATATCTTTATATTACCTATTTAAATACATTTTTATTATTCTAAATGGTTCTCATAAATTTATTTTCTCCTTACAAAATAAGCGAAAAAAAAGTAAAAAAAAAATTTATCATCTTTCTTTAGAGACTTTTTTGTATATTTGGTATATATGTATACAAAATCATTATATTTCATATACATACATATACTTACATGCTATACATATATGTTATATGAAATCATGAAATCAGAAGACAAAATATCTCGTAAATATTAAAAATAGCCAATTCGAGATGATCTTATTATACTATAAACATAAAACTAAATTATATTATGTATTTCTATATTCATACACGGATTTAAATGAGTTATTCACCTATGAAAAAGCATTATATATATGTACTTTATATGTATAATTTTTTTTATTACAGAAGATCCCCTTGGGATAAAATTTTTTTTTCATTTAAATTATTTAAAGAGTTGTCCCAGTGAATATTAGGTAATAATTAAATTCAAATTTTACTAATAAAATATAACCACAGACTGATCTGAATGACAAAAGGTGTAAACGATAATGTCAAATTGCAGGTCGACAGAAATTACATCTGACAGTCATTAACCGACAATCAACAATTTATACAGAACACACTCTTGCATAACAACTTTTGTACACAACTTTTGAATAATTGCTGCTAAAACAACAAATTATTTTCAATTTTTATACTTCTACAACTAAATTTTATTATCTAAAAATAAAAAAAAAATACTTTTCCTTTTCAAAATGTTCCATTTTGCACGAAAAACAAAATCACTTAAAATTTTCTTTACATAATTAGTTACATTACAAATGTAGACATTTGTTGACAGCATTAAAAGTTACAATGCTTTTGTCAACAACAATATTGACGCTAGACTGAGGTTTAATTAGGGTTAAGTAATACAAAATCAAAATATGTATGTAATTAAAAAAAAGACAATTAATTTGGATTGTTTGGCAAAAGTTATTCCAGCAAACTGATTCATACTTTTTACGAGAGAAGAAAAAAGTTAGCAAACAAAAATTTTATAAAAATTATTTCAATATTTAAATTTTATAATAATCCGCACAGTTGCATTGCCACAATAAAGTTAGGGTTGAATTCTAACACCCACATATGTATATATAAAGCTGACGTGTAATCAACTCTTTCATTGCTGATTCATACTTCGTGACAAGAAATTACGATAAGAAACTTTGGTTTAAGAGTTTTAAACAATAAGCAATCTAAAAGGATAAAAAAGATATATTAAAAATTTTATATATATAATCTTTCTTATATTTCTTAAATTATTGAAGATTTTTAAGTCAAAACTAAACGTCAAGTTGTAGGATTGGAATTTTTACTGTCATTTTAGTTATTTAAGGTTTTTAACTATTGCGTCCAAGTCTAAATATGAAACAATTTATTTGAAAATATTAAAATTTATCAAGCAACAGTCTGTTTGGACGCTGTTTCAGACTTAATGATTTAGAGCAATTATGATGGTATTCTTGGGCATAAATAACATCCATCGCCGGATTACCATATACACAAAGTAAGTATTTGAAATTAGCGTTGGAAAACAGGAAATCCACTTACAGCACCGAACAAGTCAAAACAGGGCCTGGTAACACCACAATACTGTAATAATAAAGTAAATTATTCACACTTAACGGTAGTTAACGGTAAAAGTTTTAATTAACAAGATCCCTCTATTTACAAAATTAGCGAACAAGATGGTGTTTAGTGAACTACATTGAAAAATTGGAACTATAAATTCTATCATTTCAGGAATAAACGTAATTACATAACGTCAAAAATATTTTTCAACAATTCAAATTAGTTATAAACTTAAAATCAACAGCAGAATCTATTTCGCTATATTAATGATAAGTGAATAATATGTTTTGAAAAAATAATACAACATAAAATGTAATTTTTTAACTGAGAAAAAAACTAAAAAACAATTTCATTATGATTTAATAACGGTAGCCTTACCAATAACATTTACAACCGCTTTGTTCCTGTTTACTTTTTTGTTCTCAAATACAATTTAATGCAGTTATATACGTATGTACATACATATATTCCATATAAGTTCTGTTTTCGGTCACAAATAAAGTCTCCTGAATTAGGAAGAGAGAATCAAATAATTATTTTATAGCCATGACAGTTCGTGATGTGATTACAATTTTGAATACTTAAATTTTGTCCTATAAATGTATAGATTTTTCAATGCTGTTTTAATACTTCGTATTTTAACCAAAATACACATATATGTATATACATATTATAAGGTATGTACGAGTATTTATGTACTCATACTTGTATATATGTACGTATATAAAAATATGGTAGCACATAAAGTACAATGAATGGAATATTTATTTTTATGATTTTTATGAGATATTAAAGAGATCAAAGTACCAAATTGAATTTCGCTCCTTTTTATTATCATAATTTTAGAATTTTTATGATTTAATTTTTTTTAATATTTCTTCACATTAAATTGGTTTAAGTTATTGTATATTTAAATAGTATATTAATTTTAATTTTACATCTTAAATGCACTACAAAAATAATTATTGTGACTATATATACTATGTATATGGTACCATCAAAATTCTCATAAGGGTTCGCAAACAAAAATTTCATAACAATCATTTCTGTATTTAGATTTTATAAATGAATAGTTTTCATAAAAATCAACATTTAGGCAGACAGACATGCAATTTTTAGTTTTGCAATTGCAATTGCAATTTTGTCTGTCTGAGCCCTGAGGAATTACTACTTGATTTTAAAATCATTGCAAGCACATCTAAGCAACTAAAGTATTGCGTTAATTCAAATTGAGTGCATTAATTAAAAATTGCAATCAGTTTTTCAAAAATTACAAACTGTTAATTTACTTATAATTGCATGCGATCATACAGCAGCATTTGCATGTTTGCTTGAATACTAACCCATGGAATACCAATGAGCAACAAACTGTTTGATTGCTGAATTACATGCGATCATTAATTGGCATATACATACATATATTGAATATGGAATGAAAACCTATGGAATACAAACGAGCAATCAAACAGTTGTAAAACTAAAAAATGCATGTCTGCTTGCGCCCTAAAACTCTGGTATGTAATCAAAATCTTTCAAAGTATTCTATAGGCGAAATATGAATTTCTTATTTCAAAAACTTTTCCCGCAGCCCTTTCGTATTACTCACATGAAGTCAAACACAATCTAAATTTAAAAGAACTTTACTAAATTGGAACTAGTTGATGTGACTACCTATGTACATATGTAAATTGTATAAAAACTAGTGTAGTCTTTATACAATGACCTACATACATATAATATGTATGTATATTATTTCAAATTTTTTGGCACTTATTTGCACAAAGTGAGTCAAAAATGCATACAACAATAAATGTACATACATATGTAGTATACCATATTGATTAGGGGGCCGAAAATGTAAAAAAATCTTGTTTTCGAGTGAGCTCCACAGTATGTCTATCTTAATGGAAATGCGCAAATTTATGTTGATTATCATGTTACAAATGCATATACATATTTTACAATTTATTTACATTATATAAATACAAATCAAGCAAATATTGTATTTGTTAATTTAGTCCTTTAATAGTAGTCTGTATAAATAACTAAAAACAAACATTAACTATCGCGGTTTTAAAACTGTTAAATCTTTAAATAACATAAAATGCCCTTAAAAAATAAAACAGCCGCGGCGACATCTATTGCTAATTTTAAGTGAATTTTCCAAAAAATTTCCGTTCGTCAAAAACGAATTTTTCATTTGCTTTCATATTGCTTAACACACTACCTACTAAAGTTTAAATACAAATATTTTCTTATTTTTGAAATTAATTTTTTATTTGAATAATAACAATATAAACAAAATTGACTTATCAGATTAAATAGTTTTACCAAAAAGCCGATAAGAGTCGCTAATAAGCATATTTAAAGCTGTCAAATGTTAACTGGGCTTTAAACTTTGACAATACTATGACATTTTTGCGAAAGATTATAATGACATTTAAACGTTTTAATTTGCAAGATTTTCATAAGCATTTTTATTGGCTTATTGTGCAAATATATTTATTTAAGAATTTTGCAAAAATTTTACATAGATTTGAGAAAATTGATTTTTCATTTAAAGTTGTAAATAATTGTTAGGGATATTCTTACAGTAAGTAGTTTTAAAAGAAAAAAAATAGCAAGTATAATATTATCTACCTTAATTGTTTTGCTAAAACGTGGATTCCGTTGTAAAAATGGCTACCTGTGAGGATCAAAGTGTTAATGAATATAAAATTGATGTTCCTGCAAATAACACGTATGACTTTGAAAGTTTGCTTAATGTAGATTATTCATCAACAGAAAACAGTGAGACCGATACAGAAGATGAATTTATACCTGAAATGATGTCCCAATGGGACTGTAGTGATAAACGTTTACAATCACCAGCTAATTCAAATTCGAACAAAATGAAAGTAGAACGCCGCCCAACAAGAAAACCTGATCCTAAAACTTGTAATAGAAATGCTCTGATGGCGAGGGAAAATCGCAAAAAGAAAAAGGAATACGTTCAAAGGCTTGAAAACAGCATTTTACAATATTTAAAAACTCAAAAAAACTTGCAGAAAGTAATTAAAAAGCAAGCTAAATTTATACAAAAGATTCAAAATGAGAAACGTTATTATAAAAATATTTTATCTAACAAATCCGAAATTCTGTCGCTGGTTAACACAATTAAGCAAACATCAAATATACCGAAATCATCTTGTTCAACTAAAAGTAGAGAAACTCCAGAAACTTCACCAACTTATAGTGGTGATTGCTTCAGAAGTGATTCATTTTCTTCAGAAACAGACTATCCAAATTTATTCGATGATAATTTAAATGGTACAGTTATAAACCAGGATGTGAATTTATTTTCAACAATTTTTGATAATGATTATTTTTTCACAGATTATAATTCCAGTGCACTACATGATAGCTGGGATAACTTAGAATATAATAATTCTATATTTTCCGACAGAATATGTGACGAAAAGGTAAATGAAAATGAGTATAATTTTCAAAATATAAGTGATGAACATAATTATGTTAACACAAAAAGTTCAGATGAGATCGATAAAGCAGACGATTTTGGCGTATGCTTACATATTAATCGCGGAAAAATTTCACTGGAATTTTGTCCGAAATGTAATTTAAGATCCACTACAAAATTAATTTTCGATTCAGAATTAGATGTTAACTAAAATTAATGTTAAATGTTTCTTTTTTATTATAAGATTAGTAATAAGCTCATTTGTCAATCGATTCATTCTTTCCTACTTACGAAAAAAAAAGAAAACAATCACATTTCCTATCTACTCTAGAAACATTGTTTAAAAAAGTTTACAAAATTTTACAAATTTTTATTGGTTCATTTTATTATTATGTGTTTGTTTTCTTTTCTTTTTTTTTTGAATTAGTCTCAGATATTAGGAGACAGGGTAGTTATACACAAAGAAATTAACATAGATATAAAAATATAACTAAACAAAGTTTTTAAACATTCCAGGGGAGATGACCATTGTTTTCACTTGGTCTTACAAAAAAAGGTGGGTTATATCAGAAGCGATTAATACATGTATATATAATATTGTATATATATAGAAATAAAAACAAAAAAGGCTAAATTAGGATTTGGAAAAATTAATATTCAAAATTTAATTTAGCTTTCAATATCTTTCTTTAAAATTTAAATCTAAATCAAAACTTATAAAATGATTTTTATAAATACAATTTGGGACATGCAAAATAAATTTTTATTTTGGAAATTTACTTTAAAATTAAGAAATTTTAAATGGTAGAACATTTTAAGGAAAGATTTTGTTTAAATAATATTTCAATGAGCAAATATTCTCATCATATAAAAATATTTCAGCGTTTGAACATAACAAGATTTTGCTTGAAGTGTGTTAACACATTGGCTAAGTATGAAAAAAATAAAGTAAAAGTATCGTTCTGAAATTTAAAAAAAAAAAAAAAATGGCGAATATATTTGTTTATAAAAATACTTTTAATACTTTTCGGCAGTTTCAGGTTTTCGTTTTGGATATATTTTTAACAAGCCAAAGCTGCAAGTCATTTGAAAAGAACCTGATTTGAATGGTACGTATTCTACCCTACTCCTAAATTTTTGTTTTTTAATATGAAGGTGGAAAGAAGGATCGAATATTTTTATTAATGTAGAAACAATATGTTTTATTTAATTTAAAATATTTGCAAATCTAATAAAAATATATAATATAATTTTTAAGGAAGCAAAAGTATTTATTATTCCTCTTTTATTTGCATGAAAATGAAATATTGTAGTGTTGGAAAATCCTAAGTTTTTCCCAAATACATATGTACATATGTAATTATAATGAATTTAGGCATATATAAAGAACTATAAAATACAAGGTTTAAATAAAAATACTAAATATTAAGAAAATTATTTAAAAATTTTTTGTTAAAAAACTTGTTTATGACGACTAAAAATTTTGGATTTAAAATCTTTCTATTTAATAAAACTTAAATTTCTATTTAGTATTTTAATATCCATTTCAATTATTTTCACAGCAAAATAAAAAATATAAAAATTTTGCTCAAATGCTACAAATATATAGTATAATACACAATATATTAAATATTCTTACGTTTAATATCTGAACAGTTCTCAAGTTCTCGTAATATGTTTGGTGTACAACAACTAAATTTATCACAATTACCACATTTTTCAACTCAAGTTAGTTTGCCTTTTTGCGATAGTCAAATTTAATACAACATAATTCTTAAATTGCTAAGCATAATTCTTAAATTGTTGATTCCAAAATCGAAAATCTTTTTACCAATAAATTGTAGTTTAGTAATTTGTATTTTTGGGATTGAAACAGCTTGAATTTGAAATTTGGGATTTGGGACAGCTTGAATTTAATAATTTTAGTTCTTTTCATTTATAGTCGACTTCAATGGTTGGCTGTAAGAATTTTTAAATTTATTATTACAAATTAGTAAATCTTTAGTAAAACCGGGTCTTGATCTTGTATAAATATTATCAAAAAACTTTGGTACTTTTTCAAAATTAGTTTTTTTAAATATTTTTGTTTTTTCTTTTTCATTATCTAATTCTTTTTTAAGCTTTTCGTTCATTAAACAACGACCCTTTTCGTTTGAATTAGAAAAAGTTCCTTTATCTTGGGATAAACGGTTGAATTTTGCACTTTTTTTAGATTCTTGAATTGCTTTTATTATAGCTTCATCTTTTTCTATTTCTTTAATAATTTTTTCGTTTTTTTCTAAAATAAATAAAAATTTGAATGTGCCCATTATCAAAAGAGAAAGATTAATATAAGAATGAGATTGCTAATCTTGGTATAGTTATAAAGACTACGAATTTTTTCAACCTAGGATTAAAAATAAAGATTTCAAGGAATGTCCAAAGTTATGAATTGATTCTACGAAATCATTAAAAATTTATGCATAAAATTCAAATGCATGGAAATATTACCTAATTCAATTTTTATTTGGTTCAATTCATTTTCTAATTTGAAAATTTTAAAGAATTCTGGAATTTGTTTAATGTTCTCCTTATTTATTTCTTTTAGCTTATATTCAGCGGATGTTAATTCATTTTGTATTCTTTCAAGAACAATTTCTTTTTCTTCAAGATTTTTAACTAAATTTTTATTTCTTACTTTTAAAGTGTTGTAGCTCTTATCTAATATTTGTACATTCGTTTGAATTTTCTGTATATTGAGTTTTTGATTTTCTAAATCTTCCTGCAGGCAGCAAACTAATTTTTTTTGCTCTTGCAAGGTACTTTCGTTTTCTGCCATCTTTTTTTCATTTAATTTTGATACCATATCCTGCTTTATTATAATCTCATTTAAATTTTTAATTTCATTTGTTAATATTTTTTTTTCTTTAACTGATACAAAATGTATTTCATTTAGTTTTTCATAAGAATCTATATCAAAATCATATTTTCTTTTCATATTTATAATTTCATCTCTTAATATTTCAAGTTTTCTTTTGTATTTCAATTTAATATCTCCATTTTCTTCATCATGTTCTGCAAAATTATTGGAATAACCGATAATACTAGATATATCGTTGCAAAAATTTTCTAAATTTTTTATTAAAACTTGATTTTCATTTGATAAACATGACATTTTTTCATCATCTTCACCACATTTTAATCTTAAATCGCTTAATTCCTTTTTTGTATTTTCAAGTTCTATTTGAAATGTTTGGTTTTCTTCCAAATTGAAATGCATTTCTTTTGTCATTATTTCCGATTGGTTCACCAAATGTTCCTGTTCGTCGAAAATGTTAGTCTTGATTTGGTTTTCATGTAATAATTCTTCAATAGCAATCTAAATTAATGTAAGAACATAAAATAATGAAGGTTTTTTTACTATATAGATTTATTTTTAAAAATAAGGAAGCCTAATTCAAATACAAATAATTGAAAACAAGAAAAACAATGTATTTAAATTACCATGGCTTCTTTTAATTGAAATTCATAGTCTCGTATTATTTTTTCGTAAAAATAAATTTTCTCATTTGCTATTTCTAGATCCTTTTCTAAACCCTTTGTCTTATTGGAAACTTTGAATATTATTCCACTGATTTTTGTTTTTAATTCATGATGTTCACACTAAAAATTTAAAATTAAATACTGATGTAGTTTTAATCATTTAAATACAACTTAATAGAAAAAATAACACTTTACAATAATATTTTCGACGTTTTTCATTTGCTTTTTCAATTGTTCGTTTTCCAAGTGTATTTGCAATTGTTTTCTTACAAGCACTTGGTAAAATAAACATTTCTGTTTTGTCAATTTAAGCTGCATTTCCAACCAATCCGTTTTTTTTACTTTTTCTATCATAAGTTTAATTTTACCGCGACAGCTTATTATGCGACACAAGTGAGACCGTAGCCTATTGCGATCAGCAAGTATTTTCTCATATGGCTCCTGTATTTTTACTGAAATAATTGATTCTTTTAATATATTTTCATTTCCTAAATATTTTTTCAAATTTTCAACAATATTTTTTAGCTTCACTACATGATTTTTCAATGTGGCTTCTTCAATTCTAATCGAGTTTATTAATTGTTTACAATTTTCATCAATTTTTCTTGAATTCATGATTTTTATTATATTTTCTGTGTTCATTTTAACTAATGTGCATTCAATAATTTGCAGTTTTTGTGTCATCTGATTGAGCTCATACAAATAATCTTCATCTTTTGAACCCAATAAAGTTTGACCCTTACGAAAATATTAAATTGAAAACTTCTTTAATAGCGTTTGCTAAAGGTTATTTAAAAAACATCTTTTACTTACCTTAGAACATGAATTGATTACTGCGGAAACATTATCGCTTGAGAGTTTTAGAATATTAGAAATATTAGGTTTACATAACAAAGATTTATTCTACATGAAAAATTAAAATCATTTTAACTCCATAGATTATATTGTAAAGGAACGTAAGTATATTACCATTCTATTTGCTTTATTTGACAATGTCTGCATTTCAAAACCTCTTGTCTTCATTTTGAATTTATCTAATTTATCTTTTAGTTTCATAACTCCGATTTCAGAAAATTTTGCATTTAATTTATTATTTGCCAAATTGTTGTTTAAAAAATGTTTTTGAGTTGAAAATGCCATTTGTTTAACTTTCTTTTAATTCAATACACAAGACTTTTTATACTTTTTTTAAACGCTATGGATCAGTTGAATCAAAACCTAATCAGCTTTGTTATCTATGCTTAGTATAGTATGTTTTACAAATATTTTACTTAAAATTTTATAACCAAACGATATACAAGCACAATACATTTTTGGTACATGTTCACAATTTAAAAAATTTTTTGATTAATTTTCTCATATTTCAAGTATTTTATTTTACGTTTACTCTGATTTTTATTTTTGTTGTACACTTCTTTGATAACATTAACGTTATTATGGAATATGTTTTGAATAATAAATATACAAAATTAACAAAATGAGTTGATTATTTACTCCAATCCTTGAGCTCGTCTTATAGCTGTTTCTTCATCTGAAGTATTCATTCCCAAATACCCAGACGGTTCCATTGTCATAGAAGCATTACCCGATGTTATTGTCCTTAATCTACTTGAATATCCTGATAGTTCTGCTAAAGGTGCTTTTGCTTGTATAATCTGAAATACATTAAAAGTTATTAAAAATTTATGAAATAGTAGAATTATTATTTACTTTATTGTTTTGTCCCTTAGAATCAATATTTATTATTGTAGCTCTTTTCCCTGACAAGTCATTTATCACGGTCGAAATTAATTCAGAAGGGCAAACTATTTCAAGAAGCATAACAGGCTCTAATAGTTTAGTTCCAACTTCCCGTAAAATTTTCTGAACGCATTGAGCTGATATTGCCATTATGAAAGGATCAGCAGTTCCACGACCTATTTGAATACTATGTAATAATATTTGTGTATTTATAACTTGACCTCCAATTCTTGGTCCACGTTCTAGCGCTGCGATTGCACCATTTTTAATATTTTTGATTTGTCGAGGACGTAATTGTCTCAAATTTTCTGCATACTCAGGTGCATTATCTAACCTTAAAGTAATAAGGCAAAATGAAAAAATTAAAATAGTTAAATAAACTATTATACTACATAAATATCTCTTTCGCATTTTTAGTTAAAGACATTGTAATTGTGACAGATTGCTTTGCTCCACCAATTTCCTTTTCTACAGCTAATGTTGTAGTTCCTTTCTGTGAAAGCGTTTCCTTATACGATATTTGTAAAGGTCCTAATTCGGCCTCAATTTTATATTCAGTTAAAATTCGAGATTTAACAATATCCATATGCAATTCTCCCATTCCTCCCAAAACTGTTTGGCCTGTTGTTTCATCATAACTGACTCTTAAGCTCGGATCTTCACGTTGGAGCTGACGCAAGGCATTTTCAAGGGCATTCTGGTAAGACATACTTGGGGGTTCTATTGAGCAAAAATAAACAGCATCGGGTATTTTAGGTTGCAAAGCAAATTTTTCATTTATTACGTCTTCATCAACTTCATCTTCCGAAGGATCTAAATTTTGGTTTAATAGTTTGGATGCTTCTTTTTTTAGTGATTTCTGAGCATTCCTAAAAGACGTAATACTAGAAATAAGCAAATCTCCCGTAATGGTACCCTAAAAAAAGCTTGAGGTTAATCAATTTTATAAAATGAAATATCAATCTTATTTACCTTCATTCCACTGCATACTGCAATATCACCAACCTCTGCCGAGCTAACTTCCTTATATTCGTCAGCTAATGGTTCATATAGTCTTTGAATAGTTTCTGTTGATCCCCTATTTGTCACTAACCGAGAACCTTTTTTACATGATCCTCTAAAAATTCGAACCAAAGTTAAGGGTCCTTTCTGCTTATCATGTACTATTTTAAAAACTTTTCCTGCAAAATCATTTCTAGAATTGTCAATACAATATGATTAAAGTTTAAGAAATCCACTGATCAAGAAATTTATGTATTTTTACCCAAAACAATCGAACACGTGATTTCTCTCCAAAGGATGAGGTAAATATCTTATCACAGAATCTAAAAGAGGTTGTATACCAATGTTTTTGTAAGCTGACCCTATTAGTACAGGAACAAGTTTGCCTTGAATTGTTGCTTTCCGAATAGCTGCATATATCAGTTGATTCGAAACATTATCAAAATTCTCACTTTTTATTACATTATCCGCTATTTGATCATCTATACCAGATAAAAAATCAATTAAATCGTTTCGTTTTTCTGTGTAAAAAATTGATTCATCCTCTTCCAATTTAAGTTTTTTAAACTCTCTTCCAAGTGATTTCTGTTCGAAAATTATTTTTTGTTGTTCGATTAAGTCAACCACACCCTCCAAACCATTTTTTTCATTTCTTAGTGGATATTGTAACAACATTGGATTTGAATCAAATTTATATTTTATATCGTTTAAACAAGATTCATGACAGGAATCAACTCGATCCATTTTATTAAGAAATATTATCTTAGGTAAATTATGCCTTTCCGATTGAGACCACACTGTTACAGTTTGTGCTTCAACTCCTGCTGATCCATCTAAAACTATAATAACTCCGTCGACAGCATATAACGATTGCTCGACTTCCATTGTAAAATCTATGTGACCTGGTGTATCTAAAACATTTATTCTGAAATTGCTCTGTTATTGGCGTTCAGTTGATTCATAAAATTTTATTACTTAAAATCTTTCCAGGGAAATGATACTGCAGAACTACATATAGTTATACCCCGATCCCTTTCTTGGGTTAAATAATCTGTAACAGTATTGCCATGATGAACTTCTCCCAACGATCTTGTACGTCCAGAATAAAAAAGCATACGCTCTGTTGTTGTCGTTTTTCCTAATAAGAGCTTTAATTATTAAACTAAAATATAAATCCATTCAGCATATCATTTTCATTTACCAGCATCAATGTGAGCAAGAATTCCTATATTTCTAATTTTGGAAACATTTGAATTATATCTTGTGGGTACTAGATATCTTGGTACTAATTTAGATTTTATAATATTTTTAAATAAATAGCCACTTTTTAACATTTTTTTTTCTTTTTAAATTTAAATATTTGATATAAAATTTAAAGTAACTAATATAATTGTAAAAAAATCTTGTTATTTAACATTCCATTTTTAATCCCTAACCTAAATTGAAAGAACGTAAATAAACCCAATTAACATGGATTTAAGAAGAATTGAATTACAAAATAAATGACAATATCAAGTTTTCTTTCTAAGTTTATCTAGAACAACCATACCATAATAGCACATACTTATTTTCCAATTATGGAGCATACATTTTCAATTACGAAATCTCTCCTATATTGTAAATACAAATAACTGTTGAATACAAAGTAACTAAGTATATAAAATATTCAACTTTTGATTTGCAACAATTCGTTATGCTCCAAAATTAGAAAAATTTCAAATTGCTTATGAAAAATTCAGAAATGTAAAAATTCAGATTGGACTTTTGTATATGTTAACTGAAGGAACGCAGAAGTTTTGAAATGGAATAAAAAATAACGACGCTGATAAAAAAAATTTAATCAAAGGATATTTATTATGACACTTTTTTTCAATAAGCAAATATTGCACATACCCGTTGCACTTTACCCGTTGAATAAACCGATTCAATGTCAATTCAAACGACACTACTAAAAATTTGTTGTTGTTTTTTTAAATAAAGTTATATGATACAGCGACACATAGCCTAGCGACAAATATCCAAAAGGTATTCTAGTCAATCAAGATTCCAGATACTTGTAAAATATAAAATTGAAAAATTTGTTTAGTGCTAAAAGGGGATTACGACCGGTTCGTTTCAAAAGAATTTTATCTGTAAAAAAAAACCATGATTCGTTAGCACTTTTTAATTATAAATTATTATTATTCTTTTTTTATTTAAATATTTAATGTTAAGTTATTAATTTCATAATTTATAATATTGTAAATATTAAGAAAAAAAAAAAATAATTTTCAAATTTATCATGCATTTGTAAAATATATTTAAGTGTGTTTTTTTACGTATAAGTTGTGCCTTACTTCAAAAATTATTAAGTTACGTTTTGTATACAATATTTAAGTGTATGTAATAATAAGTGTGTATCCTATTTCAAAAATGTATTACATATAGTTATTTTACCACATTCTTAATTTTCCGTAAATTAAAATATGAAAAAAAGCAGGTGCTATATAGTTTCTGTTAAATAAATTTAAAATACTTATGTATGTACATACATACATATGTATGTTATTTAAAAAATTAATTTTATTTAATTCAAAAAATAAAACGTGATTTTTATTAATTGTTCATAATATCATATTTAAAAAAATGCTAGAAAATGCCATTTGTGCAAAGAATAGTCACTCCGACTTTTTTATCACGATCCTATGGAAAAGGAAAAGCTGGTTTTGCCTTACAACAACAAATACAACAACAACAGCAACTAACACAACAAAAATTACAGAAGGGCAGTGGCACCAATGTATGCAATTATTGTAGGGCTACAGCAACAACTTCTTCAATAAAAGCAACAACAACATCAACTCCATCATCATCTTCATCATCATCAACATCATCGCCTCCATCATCATCATCATCATCAACATCAACATCAAATAATAGTAATGTTGTTCTGGCGACGACAACATCGGCGACGAAAAAAAATACTTCTTCTCCTTCCACTATTCCTTCTATAAATGCTCGTGATAATATTGATGATAATAATGATCATGATGATGATGATCGTCGCACAATAAATCAGAATGAAAATCAACATCATAATCATCAAAAGAATAGTTGTTGTACTTGCACGACTAATGAACTATTAAATAGTAAAATTCATAATAATATTAATGATGAAGTAGATGATGGTGGTTTAAATGCAAATAATATAACTAGCTATACCAATAGTAATAGTACGAGTAGTTCAATAGTAAATGGAAAAGAATTTGAAACTATTTCCAATATAACACTAACAAACTGCTTAAGGCAATTAGCGTCTGTGGTCATAATAGCAAATGATATATTTTTGGATTTAAATACAGAATTACAAAGAGTTAGTTGTCGTACACAAAATATTAAACAAAAAATTTTAGCTTTAGAGGATAGTGTTAGTAAATATAATCCGAAGGAAATTGAAGTTCGTAAGTATTTTTTTCATATATTTTTTTTTCTTCTGTTTTTTTTTTTTATATTTTATAAACATGAATACATTATAAATAACTATAGTAACTGCACTGCATAACGAAAAACCAGAATTAAAAATTAAATTGAAATTATGAATGAATTTTTTTTTTTTTTACTCTTCCCCTTATTTGAATTTCCATACAGGTTTTTTGGTTTTTTTGTTTTAATTTTTTTTTTGTTAAATATTTTTGATTTTATTTTTTTCTGTTTTTCTCATTAAAAATTTTAACTGCATTTTAAAAAAGCTTCATGAAAATGCATTCATTTTTTTGAATTGTGAGCGCGACGAGCGGTTATTATCTCTAAAAGAGTAGTGAGAAAGATAGCAAGGAGTTTTATTAAAGTTTTATAAGATGTGTGGGTATTCTGTATTTTAAAGTACAGATTTTAGTACGATTCGAGGGATAATATGTATTTAAGTGTATGAATGTGTGTATGTAAGTAAATTGACAATAAAATTTTTTAAAAAAAGACAATACTTAAATTGTTTTTTTAATTTTAAAAAAGATTGTATTACGTCAGTAATCAATTAAAGAAAATTCTAAAATTTTTGTTGGAAAAATTTCGAATAGAAATTGTTGAAAAGCAAAATTTCATATTTTTCGACATAATTCTGGGATCTGTGCTGTTAATGTTTAAATGATTTTTATTTAATAAAGTACGTAATTGTAAATGTTATTGCAAAGACAAATTCATTGCAATTATTGTGTATGTATACATGAAAATTGCTTTAAGAAATTTTGAAGTTGTAAATTAGAATTTGAAATAGGTAATCAAATAGAATTAAGAAAAAAATATCAAGCCATTTGACATGCTTCCATAATAGTAAAATTGTTTTCATTATGGAAGCTACTCGTTAAATGGAAAAGCCATTTAAGTTATTTCACAAAAAATGTTGTTTTAATTAAATTAAGGAGTCACGAATCATTTTAGCTTACGAAATTTCATTACCAGCTGAGGAAGGCTGACTTGCTACAGGAACATTTTAATTCTAGAACTTCGATGAAAAAAAATTTCTTAAACTTTTAAATTATTGTCTTTTTGGTTCTTCAATTTTTTGTTTTTTTTTTTTTTGTAATGTAAGAATCTCTACATGAGTTTGAAAAGCAATTTTTTAAAAATTTATTTGATTTAAAGCCTGTTTGTTCCATTTGCTTTTCACATCTATTCGGCTTTGTTTATTTCTTTAAAATAAAAAAAAAAAAAAAAAATTCTTACCATCCTTACTTCACCTTGAATAAATATTATTGCAACATTTTATTTACAAAACGAAGGAAATAAAGTTATTCCAGTCAATTTTCAGATATCATTACATTGTTACAAAATTAACTTTTTTTTATTATTATTTAATTTTTAAGCAAATATACATAAATTCATCTCCCTTCATTATAACTTTGTGAGAGGAATTCAAACTCAAAAAAAATCAAAACGTCAACATTTAAAACGATCGTTCTCTCTTTAAATTGCTTGTTACGTGTGATTATTTCTTTCGTAGATTATTGACATTTATTTTTACTATACGAACGTAATTTATGATTATGTACATTTCTACAAGTATTTATAGCAGAATTTCAGTAATTCGGAATTGACGATATGATATTCGTAATTTTCGAAATTTCAATTCAATGAACGGAATTCGTGACATGGACCTAGTTATTCTCAATTCTATCGCTTAAATCTTATGATAATAAATTATATTCAAAGTAGGAATTAGGAATAGACATTAAGAATGCCTATTCCTAATGCCACATTGAAAGATTCGTGTAGGCATTCAGAATGATAAAAGAATTTAATAACACTCTAAAAAAATTTGACGTGAGTACTTACTTATATGAATGTGAAAAAATTCCAGATTTATTTAAGTTTTAAGGATACTTATTTCAACATTTTTGTTTCATACTTACACTTAAACAAGCTACAATATATTAGTTTGTTTTTTTGTTCGAATTTCCTCCTTTTTGGAATAAACATAAAATATTAATGTAATTCTTAAAATATTGTTATTGTATGAGTAAATTTTTTTTAAACAAAAGACAAAATCATTGTGTATATTTTATTTGAGTACCATAAGGCTTACATAAGCCTGTTCATATGTGTACATGTTATAAATAAGTATAACAACTTCCTTGTCGTCATTTCCGTTTAATCTTAAGATCTTATCTTTTATAATTATTTTTTTTTTTTGTCTCTCAGATAAAAACTGCAGTCTCGCACTCTTGTATCATATTTCACATTATGTATAAAAGTTTTTGATTTTTCAAAAACAAATTCAATGTTATACTTACTTAATTTTTTTTTTTTTAATAGATAATTTAGATATTGGCGGTTTTATAAGAAAAGAAGAAAAAATCTTTAAGTCTTGTTTAGTTGTTTTAAATCAATTGAGAAAAGCATAAGAAGACAAAAAAAAAAAGTAAATGTAAACATTTAATGTGTTATACTTGTGTGCCTTCATTGCATTCATCAAATAAAGAAAAAGAGAAAAAAAATATATGTATAGAAAAATAAAGGGAACTGTGAAAATTTTATTTCACATTGTTGCCCTTAATTTTTTTTTTCTTCTTTGATTTTCTATTTATTTACAATATTCTGTTAAAATGATAAGGGTGAAATTTAATGTAAACTAAATAATGTGTATGTGGTTGTGTTTAATGTTATATTTTAAGTTGAAGAGAATGTTCATTTTTGGAATTTAACAATGTTTACACAAATTCATAGTAGGTACATAATATACATAGATACCAACAATATATACTTATAAATAAGTTGGCATACATGTACATGTGGTATATGCACTTATCGCCGTATACATAGATAAAGGAAATAAAAGAAATATCAGTGAAATTACATCAATTATTACTTGATAAGATCTAAGCCGAACATTTTTTATTAGTAACTTGTAAAAAAAAAAAAAAAACAAATAAGCAGGAAAAAAACAATAGAACAAATAAATTTTTTAATTTTTTTTTTTTTATCGAATCTGAAATCTCTCTATTCATGTAGGTTATGTATATGTAATTATATGATAATATACATAATGTACACAAATAAGAATACATACATATTATGTATATCTAATATGTAAGAACATGAAGAAAAACATACACAAATGCTTAAATAAATAAATCACGAACAGTAGAATAGCGTAAAACAAAATCATTTTCTAATATGACATTTTAAGGAATTTCAAAATTTTCAATGACATATCTCGGTACTATTTGTTTTTTTAAGTAAATAATATAATTTTTTTTTAAATTTTGATATTTTAGGCAACAATTGAACATTCTTATATAGAAAATGTCTGACAAAAGTGTTAACTAAAATATGAAATTGCCAAGAGCACACGTACAAACTTATCGAAGACGTAATTTTTGAAATATTGTAGGTATATATATAATTTTGACATACTGTTCAAAATAAACGCGTCCATATTGTTTAAAATTTAAACTATCAAGCAACATATTACATGTTCGTCTCAACATATTTATTATTGTAAAAAATTTTTCACTATTGATGAAATCAAATTGACGTATCTTGACTTCAAAACTTATGACAATTCAAAACTTATTCATCTACTCTTCTGATACGTTAATTGTGTTTGAAGACACTTATTTCTTTGTGTTGGTATTTTCAATGTACTTACTTCCCGACGTATTCATTTTGATTTAGATCACAAATAATCTATATATAATATAAAATATTTTGTTTGAAAATTTTGTTAAGCTGTACTTGAAGTGTTCGGAAACTATTAGCTTGATATATTGGAATCGAATGTCAACGGCAAATAAGCAAATCTACTATTTTTGTTTTTTTTTATAGCTCTGTCATTCTTGGTATTCATTAGAGGTAACAAATTATGAATTAGATATTCTACCGATAAACTTTTAAATTTAAAAATTTTGCAATGCTTTAAAATAGTGGCTGAAAGGAATTAATTTCAGAGAAAATTAGATTTAACTGCTTGAGCACTCAATATTTTAATTATTTTTATACAAAAGCAACAAAATGAACTCCAACAATGCATTCCCCTCTCAAATATACTTAAACAAACTTTTGTGCAAATAGTTATGAAGTACTTAAAATTTCGAAAAAATTTTTAGAATTCAGTAAGTTTAAAACAAAAATTTAAATTCAATTTTACGAGAATTCACTGTTTTATTTATATAAATAATATTTTTTTTTCTTATTTTCTTCTTTTGGATCCCTAATGTGTTAACGTAAATGTATATTAAAATAATCTAGTCTAGAGGTAAACTTAATTGGTTAAAATAGACTGCATGGCTTTTTTTTTATGAATATTTATAGCATGCATATGCTACTAATCTAAATGGAATTAAAAGATTTTGAATAAAATAAGAAAAAAAACAAAGAGAAAAATTAATGCAGTATTTCTGTACCTATACTAAATATAAAACATATGAAATAAAGTGTATGTTTTGATGTATGTTCATTAATTTAAGTTTTGACATCATTGAATGAGTGTCTGTTGAGAAAAGACAACAAAAGAGAAAGGAATAACAAAATTAGAGTATAATTATAAGAGAACATAATAACATCATATATGCAGCTATATAGGATTTGAGATTCAAGGATTCAAGTGTTTTCTATAAAATTTAAGCAAAAATAAAAAATAAATTTCACCGCAAATTAATTTTAAAGTTGAAAACTTTTTAAGTCTTTATGGTACGAAATTTTTTTAAGAAGCCTTTTCTAAGCTTAAATTCCAAGACATTCTCAATATATCACTATTTCGGTTAAATACAGAACCCCAATAAAAATGTGGAATAAAATATTATGTGGAATCAAGTAAATATTCTTAATTCAAATATTAAAGTCAATGTTATCATTAAAATTATCGCTATGGAGAACATGCTTTACATTTTTCGAATTTTCTTTTTTGTAAAATTCAAGAACCTGCATATGGGTTTGTTTTATTATTTATGAGTAAATTTCATTC